TGTGTGTTTTGTTGGGGGGGGGGGGGAGAGAGGCAGACAGAGAAAGACAAACATAGATATATGCCGGTGAACCAACGGGCTGGCGCAGACCCTGAAACACAAAAAAGGACACAAGCAACGAACGCACGGCGCACCACCAAAACCCGCCAGCCTGACTGCTGCTTACGTCCGCACGACCAACAAAATCGACTCTCACATGGCGACAGACCACTTCGCAGCGATCCACTCCCCCAGCTGGTCGCACTCGGCCTTGCTGGCGAACGTCATGTCGACGGCCTCGTTCTTGTGCACAAGGCTGAGACTCCGCTCGAGGATTTCCTTTTTCATCTTCTCGTTGCCTGTATGCACGCACACCCAAGGTTTGTTTCAGTAAGCAGCGTAGAACCAAGCGCGGGGCATGCCGTTACCGCAAAGCTTGAAGGCTGAGTGCAGCGAACAACCAAGGCGTGGCGTGCCGTTCCCGAAAAGCTTTTAGGATTGAGCAGCACAGAAGTAAGGCGTGGTGCATAGAGCCAAGGCGTGGCAGGCCGTTACCAAAAACTGGTAATACTCGTACTATACGTGTACTACCAAATATACTTTAAGCAGCAGTAGCAACAAGAACAAGCAGCAACACGAAATCAACAGAGGCAACATGCAAGCAAACTGCAACAAAAGAAGGTGGCAAAACAAGCAATCAACGGACAGACTCACCCTTGGAAAGGTGCTTCACAGAGCGCAGCAGGAAGGACGTGTGGGTGGAGCTGGAGCGCTCGAGCTCTCCCACCTTAAACACGTGCCGAAACTCCCGCTTCACGAGCCCGAACAGGTTCGAACTAAAAGGCGAAGAACGCCGAGCGAGCGAGCGAGCGAGTGAGCCCAAAACAAGTTCGCGCGTGTGTGTTTGACGCAAAGAAACCAGATGGTGGAAGAGGACGACGACGAGAAGAAGCAAAGAGGCGGCGGGGTCGGGTGCGAACGCGGGAACAAATGCAAAACAATTAACAAAAAAATACAGACCGCGTCATCAGTCGCGAACCTGGGATGAGAAAAAACCTCGGGGCGAAAACACAACGACAGTTGAAAAGCCTGGCCATACGAACACGTGCTCAGAGAATTATCCTAAACTACATAAATAAGACCTATGTATGTAGTCGCTGTTCGGGGTAACCTAACCCACAGACAGAGGAAATGAGAAACGAGTAGCCTCGGTCCCCAAAATCAGACGTTTCTAACCAACAAACGAAAACGAAAACCACCACGCGCACAGGTGAGAGTTGGTCTCAATTTCGTTCTCTCTCTGTGGAAACAACAAAAGGAAACGAAAGACAAAGGGGGGGGGGAGGGGGGGATCCGTGTGTTCCTCCTCACCCATGAGCCTGCACAACGATCTGCATATCCCCTCCCGGAAGCTTCTCCAGACCGATGTTGCCGTCCGCCACTTTTCCCGAGCTCACGTGGAGCTTCACCCTGACGGGCTTGTCCTGAACCAGGGACACGAAGCGGAGGAAGGGCGGGGTGCAGAGAAAGCGAGGGCGACCGACTTACAGCAGTACGAATTTTTCCACGCAATCATCGCCAACGCGAAAGCAACTGGCAGGGTTGTTTCAAGGCTGAGTCCGACGAGGGTGCCAACCACAGGGACGACAGAACGAAAAATCACTAGTCGACGCAGGTTTTCCGAAGTAAGCAAACATACTGGACAAAGCATAGAACCGGCTGAGTTGAGGTTAGGGTTACGGTCTGCGTGTCCCCTCCCTGGCCTTTTTGGCGATAAACTTGCTTTCTTTGCGTGGGCAGTCCAGAGAAATAACTGGTGCGTGTTGGATGGAAGTTCGAGATCGAAGTGGTGTTAAAAAATCCAGAGAGGTTGAGGTTGGAAACATCCTTCGAAGACAAAACCGGTGAGGGTAGCACCACCATCGTAGCACCTTGTGCGATAGAGAGAGGTCTTGTCTTGAGAAGAGAGATTGGGTTTTGAAGCGACGGTCTACACGTCTTCGGGCAACCCCGCAATTTTGCTGTTCTTTTATTCATATTATAAAAGAAAGAAAATTCGACGACAATTATCTTTTCTTTCATACTAAAATGAAAGAAAATTCAATTTCGACGAAACGATCATAAGAGTATCCATCAACACCCTCTCCGACAAAAACTGTCAAAAGGTAAGTGGCTTGAGTCAAGAAATGTATGTCAACGAACGCGAGGCGGAAACGTCAACTCGTGTCAGAAGCGCCTCGAGAACAGCAACAGCATAAGCAGCAGAAACAACAAAATACGGACTGCTGTTGTGCTGCCGCCGCCCTGCTTACGTGTTCGTGTGTGTGTTTTGCTACCTGACGCACGCCTGTTCTGTTTAGATGCCAACTATTGCCCCGACGAACCGAGGGCAAATTTATCGAATGTATCGAATCATGACCATTTTTCCGGGCCAGCATACCATGTGTGTTTTTCGTTCAACTATTCATGGGCAATACATAAAAGTGGGCATGTGTATTTCCACCCTCCTTGTCGGACAAAAGTGGGCACAAACTCCACAAATATTTCGCTTCGCGGAGACCGCTCGCGAGATGGCCCAACCACTCAACCTCTCATCCGGACGGACGTCTCGGAAACGCAGCCAAGGCTGATGCGCAGCATGGATCATCAGCTCCTTCACAACAAGCTTTCGGGCTCGTCTTCAGCCCAACCTTTACCGCGTCGCACAAGGCCTCAACGGAGGTTGCCATATTTTGTCCCCGACACTACTTACTTCAATCACCCACGACGGACCGAGAGACGGGGTGGGTATTACCTTTCCCACTTCTGTCAATTCCCTTTGTTGGGCAGGAGGACACAAGATTGCAAGAGCTGAAGAACGACTGGAAAGGGGTGTCGTGTTTGTTGACAACAGTGTTTTTTCGTTTTGTTGGGCAAGGCGCATCGGCAGCCGACACCGGGACTGCATGCTGTCCGTGCCAGAGAGAGACAGAGGGAGATGGACAGGAGAGAGACGGAGTGAGATAGACAGGACCGAGAGAGAGAGAGAGAGAGAGAGAGAGAGAGAAGACTGGATTCTCATCAGAACGAGCAGCACAGCAGCAGAACTTGACAGCCGCAGTCTTGCGGGAAAACTCCTGCGTTGCCGTATGTAGCAGAGTCAGCCTTACACAGAAAAATTATAGTATAAAATTCTACACCCAGGTACCAACTTGGTGGTGGCAAAGTAACTCGTTGATATTTTCCAGCAGCCTGCGTCACTGAAAAACAGCCCCCCCCCCTCTTTCGAACGGTCAAGTCAACCCTAGCCTTGAGCCTTCCCAGAACACCAGACGGGCTTCTAGTCCTCTCTGGGGTCTGGCAGGTCCGGGGCGGGGAAACCGCTAGCCCGACGCAATGCTATTGCGAAACGAAGACCGGGGAGGGGGCACGCGAACCCTAACTTAACCCTAACCCCGACTAAGTCGATTCTATACTTTATCCAAGTATGTTTTGCTTACTTGAAAAAACCTGCGCAGTCTACTGGGACGGCCCGAGGGTACCCACCAACCACAAAAAAATAGAAGCTTAGTGGCCCGAAACAAGAGCGGATTCCAACAAGCTAGATGTGGCAAAAAGCACAGGCAGTGGCTCCCCTGGTGCCATGGGTCACTGCTGATGTATCCCTTATCCATGGATGAAGATTACTTCGTTGTGGTAAAAAAACAAAAAACATACTAAGAGAGAGAAAAAGAGCCGGGTCGCCGCTTGGGGGATCGTAGAAACACAGGTACTATTTATTTAGTGTTATGGAGACATCTCCGCCGTGGGCTCATTGCTTATTTGTCCTGGACTCGTTGTCTATGGATGTAGAGATGGATTCAATGTGCTCAAAAAGAAGACAAAAAATGAGACAGGTTGTTTAACACGAAGACATGCAAACACACCAAATGAGTATGTACGTCGCACCAAATGCGGCACCTGCTGTAAGAACGTGACAACGCGTGACGTGGTATCTTGCGAAGAAAGCCTACTTCTATTTATTGACCACCAACAAGACTGTAGTTTTACCTACATCTCGAACGGGTATTTCGTATTTCTGTGAGGTTATGAATACTACGTCGACCTCACCTCTCTTGCCGCTCATCTCTCGTACGAGTCACACGCGAAGAGCGACGCGGCTCGTCCTGACCAGAGGCCAACATGAATAATTGCAGCATTTTATAGTACAACAATACTGCTGTAGGCGCGTGTAGTGGGGGGTATACTCGTCATGTAAACGCATGCCGTACTCGTTGGACCGTTGGCCTCGCATGCCGGGACGGAGGAGCGATGCGTCGGGTTTTCGCCGGCCCAGGCTACAAATACGTTTGACAAGGATGACCCAGAAGCTGGCCAGTATCCTTGCGTTTGTCGTGAGAAAACCCAGTTACGCCATGGGTTGATTTGATTGGGCATGTCCCGGCCAACCAAACAGTTGACATTCGGCAGGCCTCAGCGGGCGGGGGCGTGGGGGCCCGTTGACGCCGGTCGAATATAGAGGCGGCACAGCCGTCGGGGAAATTGCTTGGCAACCACGGACTGACTTGTTACGTTGCTGTTGTTGTTGTTGTTGTTGATGTTGATGTTGTTGATGATGCTGCTGCGTATGCGAAAAAATGTTTAGGGCACATAATGTTTGCCGTAGCCGCACCAGCAGGGGCACACAGCCCACAACAAGCAAGCGATCTCGACGAGGTTTTGCCGTGAGATGAAAAAATGGTCGTGTTTTGGTTGTCAGTTCCGTTAAATAAATGTGTGTTTGTTCATTTGTATGATACAGCAGCAGTACGCCTTTATATCACCTTTAAGAAGTACAATTTTTTCATGTACCAGCAGGGGTCACCCAGGAGCAGGATGGCGGCACGGGAGCTTTTTCTCCGCCCCCCTTTTGTGGGCGCTTTTTCCTGGTGATGGCTGCAATAAAATATAGTATAGTATGTATACCTTTAGTACCGCGAGAAGGATTCAGCCGTCCCCCTCCCTCGTCGACGGTGAAAACTCCGAATTTTTTTCGTGCACACGAAACGAAATGTACGCGAAACGAAATTGCCGCTTTGCCCCGTTACCATATGTACTACCGGCAGAACAGAATTAGACGGCTCTGCCGCTGGTGGACTCACGTACATGAACAGAAATAGACGGCTCTGCCGCTGGCGGACCTACCGTATATGACACAAGATAACACACCCCCTGGACCGATTTTCAAAGCTCGATTACTCCACGACGAAGAGGATGCATAAATGAAACAATACGTTTTCGAACAGCTCTCGACGAGACGGTTCCAACGCCGCCGTTTTCGGCGCTGTGACTCTTCCTGCTGTTGAGAAATCGAGCTTTGAAAATCGGCCAAGGGGGTGTGTTATCTTGTGTCATATACGGTATGTACATACCGTATGCATACAACAGCGGAGTGTCTTGACGGAGGCAGCCCACTTACTGCTGCTGTGCGGTTTGACCAATGGCAGCAAGCAAGGGCAGCGGGAAAATAACAACACGACAACGTTTGTGTTTGTGGTCTCGAGGACGAGATAATTTCACCCGAACGAAAGGGCGTCTCTTCATCATGGACGTAGATTACTCATGTAGACTACTGTATCGGTACACAAATGGGTACATTTTCACTTTTTGTGTATTTTCTCGTACATTTATATTTTGTCAGGAGAGAGAGAGAGAGAGAGAGAGAGAGAGAGAGAGGAGAGAGACCGCTGTGGGCGAGGGAGAGAGTTACTGATTTAGTTGGGCTTCAAAAAAGGCGGCATCCAGCAGTCTACATGTAAAATGCATACGTCTATGCTCAAACTGGGTCTGATGTGCTACTGTAGAGGTGGTTGCTTGAGACACACAGGTTCGTGCGCTACCCACCAGCACACCGGGACGATACTCTACTGCTGTAGCAGCAGCGGGCATTTCCAGCGGGTTAGGGGCCAATCCCCCCGGGCGCTACCCCTGAACTGGTTCTCGATCCGATCCGCCGCAGGCACGGCGTAAGGTTAGCGAACATGCGCTCATCGTACGTACATACCCCAGTAGTAGAGGTGGTGCGTGATGTCAAATAGCGTACTATTAAGTGAGACTTGTTTGTTCCAATGGCGGATCAAAGGCTCTACCTGTCTCTGTTTGTGTGTGTACAGTCCGATTCTTCATGCTAACGCCGACTACAGGCCCAAGGCAGCAGCACCGGTGGCAAGGAAACAAAGCATTCACCCGGTCATGGTGTCCGACCTGACGCGAGAGGCGCTACAGGGTGAGAGAAAAAGACCAGAGGGGGGACGGGGCTCTATTCGTTAACAGTGCCACAAAACAAAAAGTACGAAACTATGATTCACCCACCGCCTTCCTCCACATCAGCTTGCTGCGGGAAAAAAAGGCTTGCAAACTTCCCACACCTCTCTCCCTCTTTGCCTTCTCCATCTCTCTCTCACCATGAGGCGCTGGGAGTAAACTTTACACGCTTGGACGACATCGCTCGGCGCCCCTGATCGTTGCTGTGCCAGCTGCTTCCGGCGCTCCATCGTGCCTGCTGTGTGCTCTGCGCCGCTGCTGCTGCTGCTGCTGCTGCTGCTGCGTCCTCTTCAAAAACCGATTGATTATTTGCTGAAAGGGAGTCGCGGGTGCTCACGTTGCCTCCCTCTCTGTTTGCAGCGTGCAAAGAGGAACTCGACTCCCCTTGGATCTGTCTAATAGGGAGCTCGGGCCATCCCCCCGTCTCCCTGGGCAGAGAAGAGAGAGTTAGCGAGCGTGTGGGAGCAGAGACGAGAGATTTTTTTTTATTTAGAGAGAGCGGGCGTTGTGTGTTGCACGTAGCCAGAAAATAGATAAAGAGGCGTTTTTTCGGCATATGGCAGGGCAAATTTCTCAGAAGTTTCCCTCGACCCAGCTGTCGGCAATCTTTCCGATCCTCTACACTACTCCCATCCTAAAAAGCGCCAGTCGGTTACAGTACGATCCTTCGAATATTTTAAAGCGAAAGCCGGTGGACGCGTGAGTAAAAGTGCGCTTGGCCCGAGCTTCGTCTCCGCACTTAGGAAGGTACAGATATGGAGATGTTGCGCATGCATATATATGCATACCTTTTTTTTACAGTAGTAAACAAACTTCGAAGGTGTTGACTGGCCTGGCTGGCTTATCTAGGGGACCGCGATCCTCGTGTCCCACAGGGAAGATACAAGAAGTAGAGATGTTTCTTGCGTCGCGTCTGGCGAAACTACGCGCAACGCAATGCGTAGCACCCAAGCTGAGGGATTCAACACAGAGTAGTTACGCGGGTACAACCTCAAGCAGAGTGCGTGTTGAAGTCTACGGGATGTAGTCTACAGTCGATGCCTTGTCGATGCATGCAGTCAAAACATCATATTGGATTCTTTTGGGTTGTTGAAGGTCCTCTGGCCCTGAGGTGGTGTCTCTGGTCTTTATTTCCGATTCTGGCTTACTAGATTACATAACCATATTTTCTATGCATGTGCAATAGACATGAGAATGTGAGAATGCGCGCAAGCCGGTCCGCCCTCCACCGGTCTGCAGTGCTGATAGCACTTGTAGGTGGCGCTGGCGCCGCCCGGAGACACCAGGAAACCGTCAGTTCGTCAGTTCGCGTCGAGGGTATAACGGTAAAATTTTCATTTCGTCGCCATCGATGCATCGAGTAGGTAGGGTATGCTTCCATAACGGCTGAGCTGTGTGTTTGCCTTGTGGCCAGCCCTTCTTTTCTGCACAGAATTTTCGCGACAATCTTGGTCTCAGTTTCCGTTTTTAGTCGCGGGCGCCCACTACTTGCTGTACATAGCGCCCGAACTTGTCAAGTTTTTGCCGAGGTCGCTGGGGCGCTTGGTTAGTGGGCTAAATAAAGTCGCCGCTGTAATTACCTACTAGTACGTTTTAGTGTGGTGTTCATATCCCGGGCTCACCAACGGTTGGATGCAACGTGAACGCATGTAGTTCTCAACTGCGAAAGTCTAAAGGTGTGGGCGCTATCAGTAGAGTGTGCAACTTCTGTACCCAGTCTGATGGGGCGGCGGTACGTAGGCACTACGGATTAGGTCCGCCAGTTGACTATGGTAATTCTATTTCTAGTATTTTTCGTTTCGGGGAAATGACCTGGTTGGTTGAATATTTAATATTTACCAGTTCGGATATTATTACTGAGCGGAGATCGGAACGGTTTTTATAGTAAAGACAACAACAACAATGAATAACGACAGGAACAAGGGTCTTCCACATCTCCGCTCCTTCTACCACGGCAATTTGCCAGGGCCCAACCATCTTGCCAAACACATCGCTTCATCCGAAGGGTCAATTCACTCGCTTGTTGTAGTACCTCCTTTGTGGTATGCATATGCCAAAGAAAGGACTGACTATCTCTTTGAATAGGTAGGGTGCTTACGTCCACCGCGGGTCTCTCCCTCTCTCCATCTCTCCCACGCTTGAACTCGAGATCTGAAGGTCAGCGAGTTGTACCTCACAAAACCGAGCGTGGGATCTAGGCCTCGCTGCCGTTAAATCCTACTACTGCTGCTGGGTACCGCCCCAAGGTTGTCACCTCCTACCCCCTCTGGGGCATGTCACGTGCGGCCGCCTCTCGATGAACAGGGCCGTACACGCCCAATAGAATCGCTCACACAGATTTTCTAGGCAAAAACAACTACTACCTGTAGTCGCACATGGTAGATACCACAGGACTTTCACGTACACTGCCACGCCCATAAAGTAGTGCGATAGAGGACCATGAACGAAGGATCGTCGCCATGGTCGTCAATACACACACGCGTCTATCGGAACCTTCGAAACCCACGTTGTTTTCAGCAGCCACTCACTAGTCTCCTATCGCCTGTTTCCTGTTGAGGTCGTTTCGTCTTCTGCCTCTAGCTCGAGCAAGATGCTCTCCAACTCCTCTCGGGAGCACCCGACTCCTTGCTCCCATGCCCCCTCCCCCTCCCCGCCCCCAAAACCAGCATCGCCCACAGGGTCTCCAAGGCTCTCGCCGCCGCCGTCCTCTTCCTTCGGCGACCCCACCGATGCTTGCCGCTGGATCCCGTAAACCGCAGCTGACAGCTCGGCGGCCCTCAAGCCACCGCGGGTCACGGCTTCCCCTCCGTGACTTTCCTCCCCCCCGGGTGAACCACCGGCGCCGTCGCCGTCGCTGCCGCCGCCGCCGCCGCCGCGGCCACCCGCGGGCTCCCACAGCGCTGCGACCGCGCGCTTCAGGGCTGCGCGGTGCTCGGGCGCGAGAGTACCGCGCCCGTGCCTTTCCCGTCCCCCCGCCCGACCCCCCTCTTTCGTTGTTGCGGCGTCTACTCCTGCTGCTGCTGCTGCTGCTGCTGCTACGGTTGCGCTATCCTCGGCATCGCCCCTTCTTCCGTCAGCGGAGGTGGTGGTGGCATCAACGGGGACGCCTTGCCGTGCTTCCCCGGGCGTATAGCCCGGCACCGCGTCGTCTGATGCCTGTCGCATCCCATCGTCGTCGTCGTCTTTCTCTTCTCTTACTTCCGCCGCTTCTTCCGCCGCAGCTGCAAGGCGGGCGGTGGCAGCAGCGCCGCCGCCGCCCGCGGCGAACGCCTGGTACCGCTGGAACGCCCCTGTTGCCTGCACTCGATGGAGGCTGGCGCCCGCGTGGTCATCAACCCCTTGAGGCGCGAAAGGGGCGGGCGGTAGAGAGCGGCAGGAGGAGAGTTGCCGGGAAACCTTTCTACAACGCAACGTTAACAGTCTCAATCGGAACCACGAGACGCACAAAAGAACCGCCTTCCGGGCCGTCTACGCACCCCCGTGTACTGTAGGTCGCGAGAGATACCTGGACCGTTTTTCAACGCTCGTTTTTTTTTTTTTTTGTCTTTATTTCAAACCAGCGCTCACAGCACTAGTGCCGTTTACTCCAACCCGCCGTCACACAGAAGAGCCCCTCTCTACCCTCCCATCCTGCGGTACTTTGCCTTCGATTTTTAATGCGAGAAGAGTTCATTCAGCACTCTCTTCCCTCTGTGCACACACACACCAGCGCTATCCACTAGGCCAGGAGCGGAAGCGAGAGAAAAACTCACTTCGCAAGAAAAGCTCGTTGCGCAGGGATTCGAACCCCTGACCTGACCTCTAGAAGGTTTCGAGGATACCAACTAGACCACCGGGGCGATTGCTCTGCAGCGAATCCGGCGGCGGTGCCGAAAAAATGTTTCGTTTGACTCCGTCCCAACGACGACATCTTCCCGAAAACATACCATGTGGTTTTGTCATCGTCTTTGTCGTGGAGCAATCGAGATTTTCAAATCCGTCCAGGGGGTGTGGTACCTAACGTCATGCAACCTACGGTAGTCGTTCTCGTCGTTACCCTCACCTCCAACTAGGATGTCGACAGCAAGAGGCCGCTTGCCTCCGCGCGTAGTGCAGGAATGGATGAGGTCGGCGAGTCGCCTGGGGACGGGGAAGCGAAGAGGAGGGTTCAAGATCTTGGAACTCGTTTGTGCCACGAAGGAAGTATCATCCCATCTACATCATGGAAGGCTTTCGGCCTCATTCCCCGCAGCCTGGGCCCGGGGACACCAACACACACAAGAGCGGTCGGCGCCCTTCCTCTCTCCCCCCCCGCCCACTCGCCATGCCCACCCCAACCTTCCTCCTCCCAAATCAACCGACCAAAGTTCCACACAACCGCGCGCTCCTGCTGTGTGTTATTCCATTTTCACCTGCTCAGCATCGGGCAGGGCATCGGCCCCCCGTAAACGAAGCGGTGCTCCGAGCACCACGTTCGAGCGCAGTCCACGACGTATTGGATGTCGCTGCGTAGCCTGGGGGGCAGAGCGACCAGCACACACACACACCGACAATAGAAGGAAAAGGGAAACGCATGGTCAAAATCGTTACTGAGGGAGAGCGAACGATCGACTCAACGGAGGTCGGGGGTTCACCCATGTACTTGAGTCTCCGCGTGCATCGCTTTTCTGGGATCAAGTATCCCTTCACACCACCCGCCCGAATGACGACGACAAGGTCATTGTGATGCGGTTTCGAGTTCGAAGACCGGTTTCATGTGGTTGCAGAATGTCCGCTTTACGAAAGGTACTGAGCTCGGGAAAGTAGAAGGAAGTCACAGAGAGGACTTTGAGGCATGGAGTAGCCGGGAGAAGACGGAAGCTATTCTGGGGTAAAGAGGTGGGCTGCAAAATCGGGAAGTGATATACAGTACTGGGCCCGCTATCGTGCCGGTATGTGCCCAGAGATAATATCGGCACTATTGAGGGCACCGGCACTAATCAGAATAGTGCCTCAATAGTGCCGATTCGCACTATTGAGGTTTCGAATATCCCTCAATAGTGCCGGTCCGGCACTATTGAGGAGATGTTTGATTTCATGCTGTGGCGCTCATGCGTTGCGGCGCTAGCAGAGTACGAAATGGATCAAACTTGGTGAAGGTCTACTTGTATCGTGGGCGTAGGCATCCTTTCTCGCGACAAGTATGGTTCCCCCCTGTCGCACACACAGAGGGCGAGTTGTAAAAAAATATTACTTGCATGTTGCACCGTTATTTTCTGCCTGCCTCAGCACATGAACTGTACTGCACACCCTGAACTGTCGAAACTGCTGTTGACGGCAAGATGCTTGTAAAGCTCCCGTTCGTACAGAGTGGACGAAGCTACATCTCAGCCCTACAGCCCCTCCTTCGATGTTGCAAGATACAAAAGACAAAACAGAACAAGAAACACGACAGGAAGCGCACTGCAAGAAAACAAACAATCAATACTACTGCACTACAGTTGTATCTCCCCCCCCTCACTACGTCGCGACACTGGAGTGTCTGCCTGGCGTACCCGCTTCGATGTTGCAAGAAAAAAAAAAAAAAACTACAAGTATACGACAGGAAGCGAACCGCAAGAAAAAGAAACAACCATGAACTCTACGTCACGACAAATTCTCTCATGTCTGCCTGGCGCACCCGCCTAGCGGAATGCGCTGCGATCATCGACATCTTCGCTTTCGTTAGGTAGAACGCCGCGTCTCCGTTGCCACTGTCCTCTGCCGCCGCTTCCAGGGCGCCGAAGTGAGACGACAGTTCTTCATAACCCGGTGGCGAACGTGGGGCACGGCGCTCGCGCCCCGTGTTCTCACCGCCGCCGCCCTGGTCCTGTTCGTCCTCCTCGGCGTTCTCGCAAAGGGCCCTGATTTCCTCCATGCCCTCCTTGATGGCCTCCTTGTCGACGCTACCAGCCTCGCCATGAAGTCTCACGCTCTGGATCTTGTTGCGCTTCACGAAGTTCTCCGCCCACCTCTCGCCAGCCTTGAAGTCCTCCACCCTCTCCCTCACTGCTGCAGAAGTTGCGGTGTCAGCCAGCAGGGTGGCCCTCGCAGAACGGCCGAAGCTTCGAAGGATATCGCGTGTGACGGGCATCTTGGCCTTCCGGGCTTTGTCGAGTAGATCAAGAGCTATCTCATCGACCTGCCGCCAAAAAACCAGTAAACAACGCAGAGAGTGCAAAAGATCGAACGGTTAGTTTCGAACGCAAGCATGCTAATCTACACTGCGCGGCGCGGGCAGGCGGACGACGCGTACCCTGCAACACTAAGCTCACACGTTCGAGTATTGTTCCCAATTGTGCACTAGTGTGACGAACACTTGGACAAAAATGCGGCAGGTACAAACAAGAAGCGCTGCCGTGTTGTAGTAATTTACTGGTTTAAAATTGAAAAGCGGGTGTGTGCGAGAGCACAAGGAACGAATGAACAATGAAAGCGGAGATGAAAGAAGAAAAATGAGAGACAAAAAAAAGGAAAGAAAAAACCCGAAAAAAGACAACAAAAAGGAGAAAGAAAGACGAAAAAAAACGAAAAAATTTTGGACATCCAGCAGCGAACGAACCAGGCTCGAAAAAAAAAAGGCCGGCAAAACAAAATGGCGGGGGAAGCAACCCAAGGTCACAGCATTGCATGTAGGGCACCTCCGGAAAATCTCCTTTGCGTGCAGTTTTCTGGCTGCCGCAGCCTGCAGCAGTTGCTGTCTCCACCTTCTGCCGGCCAGCCTTCACGGTCCCAATAAATCGAAGCGAGCACTCTAAGCGGTCTGCAATCTGTGCGTGAGACACCTTCTAATCCAGCATCTTCAGAATCTCGAGCTTCTTGTTGTTGTCAGGCCGCGCACGAGAACCCGTTCCCTTCTTGCTTCCCCCACTCGTCTGCTTCTGGCGTTTAGATGGTCCCGCCCCAGCACCCTCAGCTGGTGTCGCTTTGCGCTTGCTAGTCCTGGCGACACACGTGCTGCAGATGCGGTGCTGCTCGTTTTCCTCAAACACGCTGCCCGTGGAGCCGCCCGCCACATCCTCCCTTGCAGGGGTGGCCATGAGGGGGTTGCGGCGTCCTGTCTTGTTGAAGGCACAGTTCACCTTCCGCACAAGGCATGGTGCGCCTCTGCGTAGAACTGTTCGGGTCTGCAGCAGCACGTGTACCCTCTGTGTTGCGTGTGTCCGCTGTCTTGTGTGTGTGTGTGTGTGAACCGGCACTATTGCGGGGCGCCGTGGTGCCCAATCGGCACTATAGAGGGGCCGCCCTCAATAGTGCCGAACCGGCACTATTGAAGGCGCTTTCTGTGTCCAGAGATTTTACCGGCACTATACCGGGCATCGGCACTATTCAATCGGCACTATAGCGGTCCCAGTACTGTATAGATAGGATAGGGAAAATGTTGTTGAGCCACCTTTGAAAAAACAGGAAGGAACATGTGGCCATTGGTCTCTGTGGGAACAACTCTCCGCCCTCTGGAGGCCGCGCGGTCAATAGTCCAACAGCTAAGGCATACAAAACATTAGTACGCCCCCCCCCTCCCCTCCCACCCGGCACATCGCTCCGTCCCGGCATTGTAGGGATCTATGGTCTAACGATTGCGGCATGGGTATACATGATCGTACCCCACCCCCCCGAAGACCTCACGGCGCTTCGCGCGCTTGGTGATGTGATAGCCAGGTCCGGTGAAAACTCGGCGTGCTCCGTTCCGGCTCAATAGGGATGCGAGGTCAATGGTCTAACGACTACGGCATGCACGACAAGAGCACACCGCCCCCCCCCCCTCGGAGAAGTATGGGAAGGGAATAAGAAGGTAGTGAAAGAACTCGAGGAGGCGCAGATGAAAGCAGCGAAAATCATCCTAGGATGCTCCAAGCGCACAAGTAATGCAGCCGTAAGGGCAGAATTGGGGATCCAATCCCTACGGTCGGGAAGAGACGCAAGGAAGCTGACATGGCAGTATCGCATGTGCGGGATGGGAGAGGAGAGGTTGCCGAGAATAGTATGGGAGGTGAAGTGGGCAAACAAAAAGAGGGGTAGACAACCACGGAATGGGTCAAGGTTGTAGAGAAGGATGGAAGGGGTTAGACATCGACGAAGATGATACGCTGGAAACGGAGGGTCTACAGGGGTTCAAGGAGAAGATATCTGTTGCTTGTGCCGAGAGAGAAGAACAGAATCTAAGGAAAGAAACCAAGGATAAGGAGGGTCTAGAAGTGTGCGGAATGTTGAAAGAAGGAATAGGGTTCAAGGATTACCTACATGGACCAATGGATGCAGGGACAAAGCTTAAGGTCAAATTCAGGACCGGGGACATAGGCCTTCGAGAACGTCGACGAAGACATAGGACGGCAGACGACGAAGACGACAAGTTCAAAGCTGGGAAAAATACAAGGGACGTACAGGGAGATGTTTGAGGCATGGAATAGAGAGGAGAGGACGGTAGCTGTACTGGGGAGTAAGAAGTGGTTTGAAAAGGCGGGAAGGGATATCGTTAGGATAGACAGACTAGGGAAGACATTTTTGAGCCACCTTTGGCAAAGCAGGAAGGAACGATTGGCCATCGGTGATCGGTTCTGTGGGAACAATGCTCCGTCCTCTCGAGGACGCGTGGTCAATGGTCTAACCGCTACGACATGCAAAACATAAGAGTACGCCCCCCCCCCCCCCTTCCAGCCTCACCCGCAAGCAGCGATGCCGACGTGCGTGTCTACCGCCCACACGCCTTCCTGCGGCCCCGCCGCGCGGCACGAGGACGTCGGGGGCGACGGGTCTCTCGTCACCAGCGCCACGCAGCCCCCCCCGCAGACCCCGAGCACGGTGCGGCCGCGCCGCGTGGCCTCCATCGCGTACTCCACCTGGTAGATTCTCCCCTAGAAAAAAAACATTGTATGCATACGCCGGCCAGACCAGGAAAAAAACGGCTGGCATTTGTCATAAAATTCAGTGAATAGGCTGTTAGAATAAAAAATAAAATCCAGCAGCCGGTTTTCTTCCCGCGCACTGCGAAGACTTCAACACACACCCTTCGACTGCTGCTGTGGTCTCACTCTATCTCGAAAGGGTAGTTCATTTCTGATTGTATGTATGTATACCTTCTAAAATCGGGGATAGCATGCGTGCGTGCGACACAGCCAGACGGGGCTCCAACATCCACATGATGCATCTTATAGAGCGTCTTGCATGATACTGCTGTTCTGTTCTTTCCGTGAACGCGGGGGGGATTATATTATTTGCGCGGTCAACGCGTTCATCACTACTGGGAGGGAGACGTCCAGTTTAGCGGCGATGTGTGACCGCGAACTATGTATCTCGGTGCAGCGCGAGATGCCTTAGATAGCGGGAGTTCTACATCTTGGCACTTGAACCGCCGAACCGGGGCCCTCACGCCTTCACTACCGCTATGCTGGCGATCCCATGTACTCCGCCATATAGTCTGCAAGCGTGAGATCTCTGCGACAGACGAGCAGCAGCTAGCGCTTGATGTACACTACCTGACCTCTCGTACATGACAAAGAACACAACAATTGCATTCCTCGTGGTTAATGTTTCCCCCGACAAAGTAGGGAATCGAACCACACGATTCGCTGCGAATGTCCACACGGAGACTGCAGCAAATTTCAGCCGTGCCGCAGCCTTGCTACAACACACCTATTATACCTTTGGATCGTAGCTGAGTATGCTGCCGTCATACTTGCGCTGGCTTGATGATGCCCCGACCGTCGAAGCAGCACACAAAACGCAGACGATCTCCAGCAGCAGCAGCAGCATCACTGCGGTTTTGATGCACCTGACGAAACGACCCCTTGCTGTCACTGCTGCAGTCTTGTCATCAGCCAGCTGGTCGGGAAGGTCGTGTCTGCACCCCACTGATGTGACACAACCAAGTACACACTACAGCAGTACAAACACAACAAGCCCCGCGGGACGTAAAATAATCCCGCCGCACCTGAATCGGGGGGTCGGCAGATTGTGAAGATGACCACGCGTAGTAGTATAGTCTGCGTGGTGTGAACCTCTCATGCATCTCGACAACCTGTTCCAAGGAGAGTTAGATAGAAAGAGTTTACGTCAAGGCGCCTTTGACACAGCAAACCCGGGGTGCGTGCGAGTGCAGGAAAAAATCGTCCATTAGTGACAAGTCTTTCGAAGGACCGAGGGAAAGTTATTTGCTGCGTTCGCTGCTGGGACTTTAGTAAGCTCAAATCGGCGTGTTCGGACGAAAGCGATAGGAGAGTGCGGAGAAATCGACGACGACCAAAAGATGTCGACAAGCGTCAACAACGACGTTGAGCACGGCGGGGGGGATGACGCGAGCATGCCGCTGCTCCCTCTGGCGGTAGACTTTGCGGAGCATACCGTGCAGGCCGGCGACGACGAGCACAAGAGCCGGTACTCCGCCCACAGGGGGTGGGCGTGCGCTTTCAAGGTCAACGTGCTCGTCACCGTGTTGGCCGCCTTTTGGTTTGGCTTCGAGGGGCTAGAGGCCCTAGCGAACGACTCCCTCTCTGGGCAGGGGCGCCGGCGGCTCATGCACCACGAGCACGGGGATGACCACTCGCACCACCACCACCACGATAACGGCGGTAAGTCTCGATCGATGAGGTGTCTTTATGTTTATGACTCTGTCGAAGCCGGTGTTTTTTTTTTGGTTGAAGCAGCCAGCACCGTTTCCCGTACACCGGTCTTTCGGGTCAAAGTTTTTGTTTGTTGTTTCCCTGTCACACAGAGTTGATGATGGCTTCGGCCCTCTCTCGGAGAAACATACAATACGCATGCTGGGGAAGGTAGTTGAGGCACGGGAATGGCCGTGGCGGTCGAACTTGCTGCTGCATCCGTGCTGTTGCTGTGGACGCTAAACTGACAAGTGATTCATTCCCACGAAGGCTTGTCTTTCAGAACTCCATTTCTGCGCATCTGGCAGCAGGCTTTACATTGTACCAAGAGGACAAGGACCGAGGGGGTGTCGCCTGCCAGTTTCTCAATCCCGAACATTCTGTGGTGGCTGAAGCATCGAACACAAAGAAGTGCGCTAGACGTTTCCCACCTACCCCCCCCCCCCCCCCCTTCCCGCTGTGCATTGTAACTCCGTGTTTGCCTCA